CCGGCCAAGGTCCTAAACGCAAGGTGAGGCTGCTTTCAGGAAAAATTTTCTGCTGTCCCCTCCTTATCTGTCGCGACGAGATAACCGGTCGCTGACGTATCTCCCCACCGTGTATAGTCCAGCGGTGCTGTCGACGCAAATGGTCTGGCGACTTCGCGATCGGACGCAGGGACTCCTCCTCTGGGGGCTCATGGCTATCGTCGCGCGTCGCGCAAAGCCTCCCCGGGCCATTCGGATCGGTCCAATTCGCCCGTGTCCCGAACGGAGACCCCTGGCCTTCCTTTGATGCATCAACAACCCCCTCCTCCGCAGCACAATTCCAATATCGCGCCGCAGCATATATTCGATAGTGTCACTCTGGGGAGGGATCATAACCTCAATGCGTCCAATGGGCTGTCGTCCACCCAGATGCGCCCGCCATCGCCTTCGTCGACCTCGGCGGCCCCCGACCGTCACCTCGAGTCTCCCCAGACATACGAGGGCCTGTTGGCCGCGAATGCGTCATTGAAGACGCGCGTGAGCGAACTGGAGGTGATCACCGAACTGTTCCGCGGTCGTGTGACGGAACTGGAACAGAGCGATGCGACGGCGCGCCGGTCGGAGATGATCGTCCGCGACTCGGAGGCCCGCCTGCGACGGTCCCTGGAGGAATCGCAGCGACGCGAGGACGAGCTGAAGCGGCGCGTGAGCGAGCTGGAACGCCGACTGTCGGAAACCGGCCACCCTGGTCATGCTGCGAGTACGGACAGCCCAGGGGAACCGCTGGCCAAGCGGATGAGACTGTCTGACGTGGTAGAGCAACCCTCCGTTTCTCCCACCAAATCGCCCAAGAGCGTCTAACCATGGAAGCTTCCAGGGCACCGCCGACGGTTCGTAACGGGCGGCCTTTTGCCGTGTTGAATGTTCTGATCCTCGTCGGTCTTTTTGATACCCTTTACGAGTCTTCTCTTTGGCTGGATGTATATCGGATTCACTAATGACCTCTCCCTCCGTTCGCGACATCTTTGATTTTTATTTCCCACCGTTGTTCTTTGGTGCGTCCGGGGGATGCATCTGACGCCCTAGGGTTCCGCCAAGAGCACGTCCTCCTCGACGACACTCCATCGAACCGCGAAAACGTGAAAAGGAAGCAAAAAAAAGAGACTCCATTTTATCGCTGTGCTTGTGTATTACATTCTCTTTGTCTTTTATTCCCATTGAATCGATATCAATTATGGCTTTTTTACTATCCCTCACTGGCTAGCCTCCTCGTCCGTCGGGCATCAGACGTGACAGGACGGCGATAGGGACCCGACTCTCCTTTTCGCTGTTCGTTCTTTTTCATCGCGATGTTCCTGGGGGCTGGGGTGTTTGGGGTCTGCAGTGATTCACCAAAAGGATGACGGGGCGATTTACGACATGATCTTCTCGTTGCTTCTACCGTTGATTTCCCTTCTCCCGTGTTGTTTCTACCTATATTATTATTATTATTATTACATTTATTATTATTAAAGGAATGTTTGATTGATGAGTCCTTCTTCTGACCGCTGATTCGGCCAGCATGCGCCAGGATTCAACTTGATCTTACCAGGTATCTTGTTATCTGAACGCCTTCATTCGTCGTCCAGCGCACGAATCCACGTTGATGGCTTGAAGTCCCTCCAGACGACCGCGTCTACACGGGAGACGTCCGTTTGCCGGTCAGCCAGCTGGACGAGACAATAAGGCAGGCCGTCTCATCGACAGGTCATCTCTGATAAGGCAGACGGTGCATTGACTCCACGCAAATCTGTTGGCGGATCTTACCGAGTTAAGCTGGAATTGTTTATTCCACAATATCAACTCCATCGGAATGCCCCTGCGACAAAGGCCGACCCTACCTATATATGCATTGTGAACTAAGTATACGCCATTTGCAACATATCCTCTCCGGAAAAATGGCCTTTTTGGACACAATGAGACCAGTGCAGGGTATCCTCCGCATATCAACGCTTTTCTCACAAAGACACAATGGAGCCGCAAGCTCCATCTCTTTCACATATATAACTAGGAAATTCCCGGTCTACTAGACGACACTCTC